CGTGGAAGCCTTGCACGCAGAGCGCGATTCCCCGCAGACAGAGCCACGCTTTAATACCGGCCCGCCGGGATGGCATTGTGTGCCTGGGCCGATCCGGGGCGGGGCCGTACCCCCCACAGCGCCGCTGGTCGCTCCCGTCGGCGCCGTGAACTCATCCATGCATACATTAGCCCGCGACGGCCGCGGCGGAACCGATCTGCATTTCGCGGTGGCGCAACCGTCTCGCACGCGCGGCGGCGCGCCGGCCGCGGCATGCCCGGCCCACGTGTCACTGGGAGCGTGGGCGGCGTGGCAAACGCCGGTCTGGCGATCGCCGGCGGCGGTGGCGCGCGTGCCCGCCGGTGGTGGTATCGTGTGTGGGCCGTCTGTCAACCGCTGGGCACCGCGCGCTACGCGGGACCACCGCGGCGGCCGGCGTTGCCTGAGGCGCCGCGCCGGCGGAGTTGGGTCGCGGCTAGGGACACGAGGCCGGGCCGGACGCTGAGTGGTGCGGAAGGGCGAGCGGCCGGCCGTGTCGGCCGCCGTCCTTCTTCCTGACCCCAAAACGGCGGCGCGTGTTCTGACGCGATCGCCGATAGCGCAGCTGACAAACCGGCCCGGCTAAGTAGTGGCGCTAATTGCGGGCGTTTGGCGGGACGCGGCGCGCGGTGCGCGACGGGGCGGTCAGCGGGACGGCGCCGGCGCCGCCCGCGACACAAGTGACGCAGCGGGCGGCACAAATCAACGGTGCCCTGCCGCCACGCGCACATCCGCCTAGGTGGACGCCATTGAGAGACGTCCCGGTTCGCGCCCGCGGCCCGCAGAGCGTGGCGCGGTCGGGTCGCGTGCTGGTGATCGGCCGCCGTCCCGTCTAGGGTTTCCAAGTGAGATCTTGTGTGACACACGTTCCTGGTAGTTTTTCAAGGGTGGCAGGGTGACCAGTGTTCTCATCCTGAGCTAGTCAGCGGGCCGGGTAGATAATTGAAATACCTGCCCACACAGCATCTCCAGCGGGTCCATAATTTACCTTTTGCTTCATTGTCATTCTCTTCGAACGGATCCATTAGTTTCACTCGTCGCTAATTTCCGTCCTTGGAAGCGGCAGTAAAAACCACAATGATCTAATCAAGCAGGTGCGCAGCTGCCGGAGATATCGTTGGTACCTATGCGTAGCGAAAGGTGTTAGCACAACTATTGATAAAACACAAAAAGAAAGGGACCTTAGATGAAAATATGCGACACCACCCACAAAACAAGCGCACTTTTTTAGCGAATCAAAAGCATCAGAGAGAAGCAGCGTTTAAAAACCTACCGAAAAATACAGCTTTATTATGTGTATGGAGCCATCACATATGCATAACGGCATCCAAGCACCGCAGGACCCGACCCGCTATCAAGAATGAGGCTGATGATCGGCATGAGGATCATAACGATTGGTGAAACCTAGGAGACCGGCGGTCGATTCCGTCTTCACCGGAGGAATCCAAACGACCTAAAGTACGGCCGGCATTGGACGGTTGTGGCTGACGGCAAGGGGCAGAGCGATGCTGCGCCCAGTGGCAGACACAGGTACTGTAGAGCGTGCGACCGACAACAGCAGGGCTTGTCTAAGTCTGGAGCGCTCAGTGGGAATATGACTGGTGCGTTCAAAAGTCAGTTTCCGTCGGGCCAGTCTCGAGGTATGTTTTTCTTTTCGGGACAGGAAGCATAACCCACTGACTGTTGGGTTACAGTACTGCGTTGATGAAGCAGTATGGTAAGGGGAGTTAAAATAAGTGCGCCACCGCAGCTATTAGGGCGAGGACAATCGGCCACATCTGAACTGAAGTGTGAACCGGCTGGCGTGCCTTGACCGCTGGGTGTGAGGCAGCAGCCACAGTGTAAAGCCGCAAGGTGCTTGTAACCACAATTTAATGCCCGTGCTTTAAAATGTCGCGACAACTATGTCACAAGCATACGTCAGCGTTTGCATATACGAGCCTGCGGTATTGCTACGACGTGGGCCAGTGCCGTCATCACGCACGGTAGAGTCCAGCCGCACGCTGGGTGTGGCCGCCGCCACCTCGTGTCGGTACGTGTTGCCACTGCCACGTGGCGCACCGGTGGCGACGGCGGCCGTGCGCGACAAGCGGCCCTTGTTGTCTCGTCTCGCCTAGCCTCGCCTCGCCTTGCGAAGGACGGCACGCGCTGCCTCCCGCAGCTGCGCGTGGTGTGCGGATGTCACTTTCACCGGCGCAGATTGGATGTGAATAGGAGAACGGTGAGCGCGCCGCGCATACGCACGGAGGCGGCCAGCTGGCTGGGCCGCGTGGTCCATGTTTATTTAGCGCGCCTTCGGGGCACTCGACGCCAATCTGGGCCCGGTTCGGGCGGTCGCGACCGGGCGCGCGCGCCCGCTGACCCACTTGGTGGGTTGGTGCTGGCCGTGAAGCGTGCCGCGCCCGACACGACGGCGCGTCCGCCTGGTCGGTGGGAATTGCTGCGAGACGCCTTTGTGAGGCAAGACGGCGACGCTCGAGAGTGGCTGCCGGCGCGCTGGAGCATTGTCACGCAGAATAGAATGCATGGTCCGAATGGAATGTGAAATGGAATGCATGCACGGTACCGGAATGGAATACATGGTCGCGCGGCTGGTCTGATATGAATCTGGTGCATCGACAGGCGTCGGCATTGACAGGGATGTCTCGCAAGAAATGATAATGCCACCGCAAAGGTTAGTTATGGGCTTAAATTTCCTCTGCGATTATAAAATGTCAAATGGTGTTCGAGATATGCGTTGTCAACGAGTTCATTTATTGGCGGCCTTTGGGCATCGCTGCAATGCCAGTAATGGCACTGCTTAGTAGTGCATCCAGCTATTCTTACTTGCTCCACCAATGATCTCTCCCTGCAGTATGTTTAATGGGCGAAAGGGAGGGAGCTCCCCGTACCCTTTTATGGAGGAGATGTGAGAGAACGGAATATGAAATTTGCAAAGTCGAAATGAAATAAACGATTCTGTCGCTAACTTCTCAAGTACTTCATCAGAGAACGAACTAGAACGCGAGGCTAAGCGCTTGCCTCCTGAGCCCAATACAAGCCAGCCAACTCGTGGTTTTCTTTAGGCCTTGAAAGCCATCATACTTTGCCCATCTGCTGCGATGCAGGAGCATCCAGCGTCCTTGCGCAAACTGCATCCTAAACATGCCGCTTTCTGACGTTTACATGAGATGAGATTTCCCATTTTAGACTCGACCGTAAACCTGCAGCAATCCCCGTTTTGAGAACGACGACATTTTCAAGAAGACCGATGCCACTAAGCTTTAGATAGTGCGGATAGTGGGGCCCATGCCAGCGGCTAAACACCTGCGTTAAATTCAGCAACACTTCCACCTGCGCCGAATTCAGCAGCCACCCAGTAAGGCACACTGGAGCGTATGCTGGAATGGAGTTGCAAGCGTACGAAGTGTACCCGCAGGCAGCTGAGAAAACGCGCGGAATTCGGTTGCATGTCGGCATGCAAGAAAATAGTGGCGCCCCATGCATAGAAACATATTGTTTGCTGATTCTCCTCCTATCTTGATCTATTTTAGTGGCATAACAGCTTCATCAAAGAAATTGATAAATCCTGACGGGCACGGCTATCTTCAAGAGAGGAGTGAATTTGGCAAAAAGCATGACATTTATTAGGTGCGCGAAATGCTAGTGAATAACGTGATGCTCGGTTCCAGGACTTCACTTGTAAAGAGAACACACCTTATTTTACAAACATTGCCATCCCTGCAACACTTGACAGTGTCTGGTTTTCTTCCTTTTTTCACTTCCATTCCAATTCCTTTACTTCCATATCTTTACGGAATGATCGAGACAAGGTACTAGTATCACGGATGGAAGAATTGTTCAGACTATGGTCCTTCCTCGTCTGACGTGTTAGCATGTACACATGTCTTATGGGCAGACCTATATACAGACGCATGTGCACACATACATAGATGAGAACATGTAGACGTGGGCATGGCTGAAAGCCAAACACTAGCCAGTCGTCCTCAGGACTCCACAACCCCCGACGACGTCCGGGGATCTAACTAGTCAAAACATTATTTACACACCAGACGAGGGTAAAATCCGAACAATTCTTCCATTTGTGCTTCTTTTCCATGTTGGCGGCAGACGTCTATCATGTAAAGAGCACACTGTGTGATGTTCTTCAAGGTCCCTATGAGGTGCATGACCACCATCTCCTGTTCTTACCCAGTCTTGTGACGTAACAGCCACATCAAAGCAGTAAATTCCTCGTGACTGGTAGGCTCGCCGCATGATGCGTGAATGTGGCTCATATTCCAATGGGTGTATGTTTGGCATTGTAAAACGCTCACAATGCTTCTCCAATACTATATTGAGCTGGAGTATAACATAGCAAAAGAGCAACGTTAAAAATGGGGCTATCCCAGCACATCATATCACTGAGTGCCAGCGTGAAAAGCAATAACACTACCCCTCTGTGCGTGGTTTACACTAAAGATCCTATAGAATTATATGCTTGCAGTTAACTGCATTGCCGTAGTAGACAATGAAGAACACCTACCACAGGTTTGCTTGTGTTTCATTGTTCGATTGTATGAGATCCATATTCGTAAATGCCCGCACTGGAGGGCCAACAAAACAACAGCGGACACCAGGGTAGATGCCCTTTCGGAAATACACGCTGTTTTACACCAGCGTGCCAGCGAAATGACCATCGACGTATGCCCAAATATTGCATCAGTCGACGAAACGAAGTGACAAAAGCACACGTCAAACTCATTTCCGCTCAATATATTTGCACCGTCTTCACAACTGAGGTGGTTCTACGAGACTCCATCAGTCAACCGGTTGTACACTTCAGCCCGTCTGCGACCCCTTAAGCACGGCACCGGTGCAGCGCTCGTCCCCCCCCCCCCCTCCCCACCCCCACCCCGCCCGCCGCCTCGCAATGCCCTGGCCGTCGTGGCGCGCGGCGCCGTCACACGAGCGTGTCCAGCACGTAGCCGGCGGCAGCCTCGTCACTGCTGCTGTGTAGCGAGCTCAGGCCTGTGTCCGAATTGGAATCGCCGTCAGCGCCGGACAGGTCCTTGTGCGGCGCGGGCGGCGCTGTCCAGCGCGGCTCGGGCGGCGCCCCGCTCGGCAGGGCGGCCACGGCCAGCCGCTCAGCGAGCAGCCGGCTCGTCTCGCCGTCGACGGCGTCCAGCTCGCGCTCCAGCTGCTGCACGTGCCGCCGCCGCTCAGCTATCACTCGCTCGCACTCGGCCAGCGCTCGCTCGTTGCGCTCGATCTCGGCCGTCTGGCGCGCGCAGAGCGCGGCGAGGCGCGCCACCTCGTGCCGCGCCGCTGCCAGCTCGCGCTCGTCCGGCGCCGGCTCGCGCTCGTCCGGCGCCGGCCCGGCGGCCGGTGGCCGCGCGTCGGCGGCGCGGCGCGCGCGGTGGCCGAGCCGCAGCGCCGCCTCCTCTTGCTCGGCGATGCGCCGGTTGAGCTCGACGATACGTTCGAGGTAGTGCAGCGTCTGGCGCAGGTCGGACACGGCCTCCTCTTCGCTGACGTCGCGCGGCGCGTCGCCGGCGTCGGCGCCCAGCTCGGCGCCCACGCCGCTGTCGTGACTTGCCTTCTCTGCCTCGGCCGGCTCCCCGTCGCGGAGGTACGTGCGGAGCAGGTAGTCGGACCCGAGCTCGTCCTCGCGCATGCGGTGCATCTTGTGCTCGTAGTAGCCGATCAGGTCCTCGCGCTCGTGCAGCCGGCGCAACTGCGCTGCGATCGTCTCGCCCTGTACCAGGATTGTCTGCATGAGCCGCTCGACCACGTCTGCGCGCGCCGCACCCTCATCGTCGGCGGTCGGCGCCAGCTTGCGCGGGTGCACCGCCTCCAGGCTGCTGGAGCTGCGCCACCGGTGGCGCGAGTGCCGCCGCCTCGGCGTCTTCACCTCCTTCGGCGTCAGCGGGCTGAGCCGCTTGAGCGTGAAGCGCACTTCGGCCGTATCCTCCCCCCAGGTGCGCCACACCTTCTGGATGCGCGCGCCGGCGTCCAGCGGCCGCTCCACCTGGCGCCAGCGCTCGACGATGGCAAAGGCGCGGAGCTCGGAGTCGTGCGGCGGCGCCTGCAGACGGCGCTCGGTGGTGAGCAGGGCGCGCACCAGGTCGCCGCAGGTGGTGCGCCGACCCACGCCCGTCACCCACTTCTCCACGCCGTTCACCCACACCGGGATCTCGCAGGTCATCGTCATCTGAAACGGACACGGCGGCCGTCAGAGGGCGCGTGGCGCTTCAGCGAGGCGGCGGCGCCATGGAGGGTCAGGGCGTCCCAAAGGCCAGACGGGTGTAGGGGGCCAGAGCATGTGGGGCAGCTTAAGAAGAGGCGCATGGGGTGCTGAGAGACCAATGAGGCCTCAGGGACATGGAACGACAGGTGGAGCTTGGGCGCCACGCGTGGCACGGGTGGAATCACCAGCTGGAATGATGGAAGAGGCTCAGGCCTCAAGGAGGCGCACGCACGGCCGAGTGGGTGCTGATGACGAAACAACACAGTCAGCACGCTCAGGCTCAATCAGCGCGACGACTGAACGGCAGGCTTTTGTCGGCGCTCGAGACTCGCTGATGGCAGTAGCATTAAACACAGGCCTATGAGGTGGCAAACGCCACAATTTCGTGAGGATATTGATTAAGCGTATGGGGAAAATCAGCCAAACAAGTAGCCGACTGCTGCCGGAGGTGGGATTACTGTAATAACCTGACAGATTTTTTACACAATGCAGATACTGTTAAGGTAAATAATAATGTGACCTAGCACACATGCCCTCATGAATTATTCGGCTATGACGATGCAAATAGCAGGACCAAAGTTGCTCAATACCCACGTCCACATTCTCTTGCTCAACTGGCTGGCGCGGATAAACCGGCACCAAAAGACAACCGGATTAATGAGCGGCGTGAGGAGGACGCAGTGTTCTGCACTCTAGAGGCTGAGGTGCAGCTGATATACCGCACGTCGGCGTGTGTGGCGGGCCGCGCCGGCTGTCAGGCCCTGGCTCGGCGCGCGTCAGTCACACCTCTCGCCAGCCGCGAAAGGCCCGTCTGCCGGCGCTGAGAGTGGCACTGCATTCCGGCGGCCTTCACTTTCGCACGGCACCGGCGGCTGCCGAAACGGGTGGGCCGGCGCCGGCGGCCGCCGTAAACCATCCGCGACCTTGTTAACGGCGCCCCAAACCGCTTCCCATCGACTACTGTGCGAGATAAGATCGCGCCCTTCCCGCGAACGTACCGGTCCAATTTGCGCCCAGCCTTTGGAGCGGAGGCGGCCGCGCCACCGCCGTCACCAGATTACAGGGTCCGGGGACCGGTGAGACAGCGGCGGCCGGCGCATGCACGCTCCGGGGCCGTGGCCTCGCTCGGGACTGAGGAGTGTATACACGCAAACACATACACATCCCTGCGCTGCCGGGTCATCGGTCGGCCGGTAATCGGCAGGCGGCGCCCCTTTCTGGGGCAGCGCCGCCCCGGAAGACGGAGTGGTGCGGCCAGCCGTTTCACGAGCTGTGAAGTGATTAGGCGCTTCGACTTTCGCGCGCTGAGACTGAGTAAAAACATGATCGTATTCAGTACAGGCATATAATTTTGGCCTATCGGCTGGTTCTCGCCATCTTACCTCTGAATTTAGCGTAATCTACGCGCTCTGCAGCATCGCACGCATGCTGTGAACGGGTTGTTCTCTCCCGACAACGGATATCAACGAAAGTCCTTGCGTGCGTCTAAACCATGTACGCAAACCCTTCATTTGCATCATGCCAAAGACAGATCAACTAGTTGTTTGCTATCTGTTTCAGTTTTTAACAAGGTGATAAACGACCGTGCCCACAATGTAATATAACTCGTCTTTTACCCGTTTGGCCGCATTTCTCACGCAGCAAACTGCAGAAAGCAGTGCCGGCTACCAGATACAAATGACTAAACGGCATAAGACTGGCACGATAGGGCCCACTAGGCTTCAAAATGATACAATTGGGCGCAAAATGACCGCGGCTGTCGACGCGCCCTTAAGCCCAAATATCGACAACTACCAGGCTCCTTACTGGGTGAATGCTTGCGGTGTTCTTGCAAGGAAGCATGTAATGTCCTGATAACATATCAGAGACAGCATTGAAAGTGACAAGTCGAAAAATCGCACACGAACATATATCCAGTTCTAGTCAACAGTTTGAGTAGGTGTGCAGAGCTTGGAAAGGAATCACCTGACAGCAGCTTAGTAACAACGGTTTCCCATCCGTCTTCGGGACACTCAAGTCCTTCTGCCTCCATACATTCGACAGAATGTCCTGTCATTGCTCGGCCCGACGTCCTCGTCCTTGCCCATGCTGTAGCCTGCACGCCTTCCACTACGCCTCCCCTCAACTGTGGCCATCAACCACCTGTTGCACCAAGTAACGTCTCGCCCATCTGGAAGCCCACCTCCGGCTGCTCCGGCCATCCGCCACCGGCTCATCTGGCACCGCTATCGCCACCATCGCGCTGATGGAAGTAGAATCGACCCGGTAATGCGCTTAAAGCGGACCACGTCTGCCGGCTCATTACTGCCGCGTGCGGGCGGGCCGTCCGGGCGAACGGGGCGGGCCCGCCCCGCCGCCGCCCCGACCGCCCGGGCGCCGCCCGCCCGCGGCACGTCAGCTTCGAGTTCGCCGGCCAACCAGCCGGGTGTCTGAAGACATCGCGGGCAGTGTCTCAGGCCGTCCCTCTACATGTCTGGAACCTTCCCTGTACATGTCTCGAGCCGTCCTGTACAGTGTCTGGGGTCGTCCCGGACAGTGTCTGGAGCCGGCCCAGGCAGTGTTTAAAGCCGCCCCGGGCAGTGTCTGGCACCGTCCCGGGCAGTGTCTGGCGTCGTCTCGGGCAACGTCTGGCGCCGTCCTGGGCGGCGTCTGGCGCCGTTCTGGGCAGTGCCTGGCGCCGTCCCGGGTGGTGTCTCGCGCTGTCCCAGGCAGTGTCTGGCGCCGTCCTGGGCAGTGTCCCGGTGAAGGCCTTGGCCGCGAGGGCGGAGCGGCCCACATGAGCGATAATCGCCTGTCAAACCGCCGTAATAATGACCAATGGAAAACCAACACATCAATATTCGGCCGGCCGGCTGGCGTCCGTCAGGAGCGGTGGCGGCGGCGCGCGCCGGCCGCCGCCGCCGCCTCCGCGTGACGCGACGTGACGCGTCACGGTCGCGGGGCCCGCCCCGCGCGGCCGCCACGCCGCCGCCTGGCACACGAGAGCCATGTTTTATCGGCCGCCGATTATCCCAGCCGGCTGCAAACGGCGACTGAATGGGCCGCGCTGTTCGCGATAACAGCACTTGGCTGCTCTTTACCGGCCGTGTGAGGTCAGCAACGACACGGACGCCACGCGCCGGGGAGAGGCGAGGCGGCGACCACGGTGCCACCCACGGCGCGCACCTGCACCACGCGGGGCCGGCCATGGGCGCTCAACAGACACGTTAAAGGTGCCAGTGATAGCTCGCAGGAGGTGCGTAGTGTAGGGGGGGGGGGGGGGGGGGTCGCAGCCTGGTCCGGATGGTGTCCGGGAAGGCTACCGTGAGCAGTACAGGAGCATCGTGCCATGCCCTCTCCACCCCGTGTAAAGTACCCTGACGGCCGGCCCATCGCCGGATGGCCTCTGCGTCGCCCCGAGAGCAGCCAGCGGCGGCCTGGCGCTGTCCAGTTCCTCTCGAGGAGCGCCTCAGCGCCGTCAGTGACGCCGGCCGCCACCCATCTGTGGGCTCGGCCCGCCGCGACGCGACAAAGCGCCGTGGCGTGAGTCGGCCGTCGCCGTGCGGCCTGAAAGACGCCCCGCGGCGCGCTCCCAGCCGGCCGGCGCCTCCCTTCCGGCTGTTCTCACTGGAAGTCCTGCTGCAGTCACGCCGCTTCCGGCTCGGACGCGGCGGACGCGGCGCGCGGTCACCGCCCGCACACGCCGCGATGCCAGCGCGTGACGGGTCATGACCGCGCCATGACGACGCCGCGTCACCCGCAGCCGCCGGTGCAAATCACGGCGCGGCAGATATGACAGCGGCGGCACCAACTTCCTCTGATTTTTTCCTGATTTTTGCAAATTTTCATTGGAAGATGCTCGTTTTGGCGGCAATACCACACCAACGTTCTGAACGTCCTCCACCGCGCTCACGAGACGTGTGAGCCGCGAAGCCGATCAGAATGCCACCCCGGTCGCGCTGGAGGCCACCTGATATGCAGGCAGGCGGTGCGGTGGTCCATGTATGTGTCTGCGGTGCACGGGTTCAGCATGATGGGCGACAAACCGCTGCAATGCCTGACACGTTGACGGAGTCCTTCGACCCTGGCCACTCCGTCTCTCTGACGCGCCCCGTGTGTCCAGACATCTATTCCATTCGTGCGACAGTCATCTATTCTACGTGCGACCACTGGGAAAGAGCGAACTGGCGCGAAACAAGCTGGTGAGTGCTTTAGCTAAGCGGCCTCGAATGATGCAACAAATCGTTGTCCGGTTGTTCAGTAGCTCTTCAGGGCTCAGAGCCCACTAGCAGGCAATGTTTTTTTTCGGAACTAATACGACGATCCATTAAACAGAGCGAAATGCATGCGATGCTTTAGTACTCATAGGACTTAAGCCACTGGGTTTAAGTCTGACTTCCCACAGTGCCGAGCGCGCCCAGGACCCGGCGGCCCAGGTGAGGCCGCGCTTCAAAGCTTCGCCGTCGTTACTGGGATGCGCTTACACAGGTAAACCCGGCCGTCGGCCGCGTAACCGTGACGCTCTGTTCGGACCACATAACGGCCGCCGGCGAGCTGCGTAATTTGAAGATGATGACTGTCTGTCGGTACGGCAGCAGCGGGGCCCGGCGGCTTGGGATATCAAAGCGTCATAAAGTGCTCCGCAGCCAAAGAAAACGATAACTATTTGCCAATGTGCTCGTCCTTTTCGTGTGGCTGATCTGAAAATGTGTTCCCTTTCCCCTCTAGTTCTTGTCCTCCCCTTGGCTATATCATTATGGTTCACTACCAGTACAAACGAATGTTTGGTTTCTGTTTGTTTTAGCCTTCTCATCCACTGCGATTACTCCCCTCCGTGTCTATACCTCTCCACATCTCCCGGTCTCTCTCTATCTCTCCCTCTCTCTCTCTCTCTCTCTCCCTCCCCCCTCTCTCTCTCTCTCTCTCTCTCTCTCTCTCTCTCTCTCTTTCTCTCTCTCCTCTCTGTCTTCCCCTCCACCCCCTTG